TGAAAGGGAAAAGGGATTATCATCAAATCACTGAGAGAGATGATCAACATTACCATACTTAGCTTATTAACATGCCTCAACTCTAAATAGCAAAGTTCCTCTGTTATTTATATCCTTTGAAAATTGTAAACAGAAAATGAAAAAGCAGTGGCTTGTTTCCGATAGACGTCGTAAACAAAAGATGAAAAAGCAGTAGCAGTCTTCAAAAGTGATAGAATATATCTGAAATTGGGTGAGGGAAGATGATGGTTTCATATAGAGGAAACCATTTTATTAATGGTTTCAGATAAACATTTTAACTCTAAACTGAAAAAGTGATAGCAATCTTCAAAAAACCCCATCTAAATAGCAAGATTTAAACAGAAGATCTAGTAAGAAAAAGTGATAGCAATCTTCAAAAAACAGAGGATCTAACCGGCGACCGGCGACTAGCGACCGGCGACCAAACAGAAGATAACGGGAGACAAACCTGATAGAAGCGAGACCGACGAAGCTGTGGAAGCGCGACCGACGACACCGGCGCCGGAGAAGATGGAGGCGATAACCGGCAAGGCGACGACTTGGGTGAAGGAGACGATGAGCGCAGCTGGTAAAGGGTGTGGAAGGGTAAAGAAGGAAAAATGTAATCTGAATGGTTTAGTGAAGTCCTACCCTCAAAATGGTTAAGAGGCTTGTGTAACCATTAAGAGGCTTGTTTTTTTTTTTTTGCCAAACACACTTCACCTCCACACTTCACCTCTAACCGATTAAGAGGTTGGCTCTTAATGTCACCATTAAGAGCCAAACAAACAGCCCCTAAGAGTGATGTTAAATTTTAATCTTATATTGTTGAAGATTTTTTTGTGTACGTAGTTATAATTTAGTTGGTTAGGTACGTTGAATGTTGACACTTGTCATATACTTATTTTGTTGTTTTGATTTCACCTTCGAGACTGCATTCAAGAAACCATACCCGTAGTAGATTTTTTAGTAGGTAGGCTAAACACTCGACCACCAGCAGTAGATTGCTTCTCTTTATCTTTAGCATTATCTTTTGGCCCTTGTTTACAATCACGAGCCAGATGACCTCGTTGACCGCAGTTATAACAGGCGCCGGTCATTCGAAGACATGGGCCAGGACGATGTCTAAAACCACAATATTTGCACCGTAACAGAGAAGTTGTATTCGGAAAACCTTTACTAGAAGTTCCTTGAGATGAATTTGGAGGTCTATAATTCGGTTGTTTCTACTGACCTGTCCGATTAGTTCCTCAACCGCTAGAATTTCTTTGAAACACATCTCTGTTTCTTTTCGTACCACTATCACCTCGGGAAAGTATAGAGTCCAGTCGTTCTCTTTCAATGTTCCTTGCAGCATCAACAACCTGGGCAACGCTCGTGAAGTGTTGATTGATAAGTTTGGGACTGAATTGGCTGTTGAGGGTCCATTTGAACTTATTAACCTGGTTTTCCACCGCACGTGCCATAATACCCACAAAACTAGCCAATTTAGAAATCTGGCTACGTATTCGGATATGGATTCATCTTCTTTCTGTTTGAGTGTAGTGTACTTTTGAACATATGCTTCTTTGTTTGCTGCAGCAAAGTATTGCTGATAGAAAACATCTTTGAATCCCGGCCAGGTTAAATTTTCAATAGCTATATCCCCTCTGTAAGATTGTTTCCAGGCTTGCCACCAGCGATTAACATTACCTTCAAGTTTATAAGTGACCAGCTCCACTCGAATTCTATCAGAACAACCCAAGACTCGGAATACCTTTTCAAGATGTGGTATCCAATCTTTAGCCTCAACAGGAGTGGCAGCTGAAGTAAAAGTACGAGGCTTTTGTTTGTGAAATCTCTCCTGATTATACCACCCTTATTTCAAAATATACATCTTTCCTGATTATATCACCTTTATTCCATACAAGTTATAATACAAAAATCAAAACCCAATTATGCAAACAAATAGCAAATACATGTGTTCGAAAACACTCACTTTAAACCATACGGTTCCTTATAAAAATATATCAAATGAATCTTAAAAAAACTCATATTGAAGCAGAAGGAGTCTCGCCCCGAGCATCTTTTCATTACAGCGTTGAGAGAGATGGAAAACTGATTTTAAAATCGGTTTTTAAACCGATTTAAACACGTTTTGTGGATTATTATTGTTGGAGGATTATCATCCAATTATACATGTTTATCCGAATTAAAGGGATAAAATTCGTGGGCTTTTAGGGTTTTCTACCAGTATAAACACTGGGTTGAAACCAACTTTGAAGCACACCTAAAAAATCATTTTTTCTCTGTGCGGTTTCTGCTTCCATCAATTCTTTCTCTCTACCATTTTCTGCATCCACCTTGCTTTATTTTCGTTTTCATTGCTGTTGATAAACGAAAACGAGTACTGCATCAAATCTTGGGGCTTTGCGACTAGGAGACTCGGAACATCCAAAGAGTAGTCATATAAAACCTTTAAGGACATGTTTTACCATGCAGATTACGATTCAACGACAAATTAACCAGGTTGGTTTTAATTTCGTGAATTGTATTTAATTTCCGTTTATTGAGTGAACAACTCTAATTTTACTCTTTTTTCATTGAATCTATCACGAAAGATAAATTCAATCTGTGTGAAATTGTTCGTTTTAAGGTGTTGTGGATTCCGGATACAAAAAGTTACAATTTTTATTCATAAAAATTATTTTTTGGATTAATTAATTAAACTTGTTAATAAAGGTTAAAACTTTATTGGTTTCATCTATCTAAATCTAATTAATTTTTTCAACATTTTATCTATTACATATCTAGTCGATTTATAGTTTTGATACAAGTGTAAGACGGACTCCAAAAAGATTGAAACAACTGTTTCAATACTTCATTAAAATCTTGTTTTTTCTCTCTTCTACGCTTCCACTCACACAATATTCAACTCTAATCTATCCCAATCTTTTTATCTCTTATTGATGATCCAATCTAAAATAATTGGTCATAGAAATTATCTATTCAATGATTTATTATTCATAAAAATAATTATACACTAAAACTATAAACGTGTAACAATATTGGGTTCTATTTGAAAATAATTAAGAATCTTGAATTTTGGTATATTTTATTTTTTAATTAAAAATAAAGTTTAGTTTAACCAATTAATTCTTATTAAAAAAACAACCACCAATAAGAAGTTGACATATTTCAAATATTTGAGCACTCCTTGTTCATCCTACAATCGATCATCCACTTTTGATTTTTTTTAATTCAACTTTTTAATCTTCAAAGTTAGTCGAGGTCACCACTCTAGATCACATTTCCAATATATACCACTCAAGTGGCTTGTTTTAAGGTAAACATGTAAATCTAAAAGTCAAAAACCATAAAAAGAAATTAGTTATTGAGGCCAAATATATTACTTGGGTGGTCTTAACAATCTTCTTGAGTCCCAAACTCTCAATGATGAAAAGAAGCTTTTGACATTGGCCGGTTCAAACCAGGCCATCGATTCAGGTTTTGACCGGGTCTTGATGTAATCGATCCTAAACAATAAATATTGAGTGTGATTGTAATTTTCAATCCTAAACATGTCTATGGTTCGGTCTTCCCTAATGAGTCTTTATTAGGGACGGCATGGGCCGATCCTTAATCCCTGAGATTTTTGTTCCTTGCCAGTTGTTTTATTGTCTTTCGATCCAATACTATAACCCTGTTCTATGGTACATTTGTTTTTATCATTCACTATCATTCTCCACCGCATCTTTATTTATTTATTCTTAGTTTGTATTCATAAAAAAGGAAAGGAAACAAAACACCCCATATGCACAACAACATACAAGCATAAAATCAATTTGGGAAACTAAACTTACAAGTCTAAAAACCAAAAATTCCATTTATAAGGAAATTCAGTAACAGACTCAGTGACCACCAGGCAAGAACTAGAGCCGAACAAAAGTCACGCAACAATGACGATAAGCAAGTAATTATACAACAAAAAAGTGGGGAAGAGGGTGCCAAGATTTGAAGGGAGGCTCGATTATAGAGGGACGCCACCTGATCAAAACGTAAGACATATTAGGGGAGGTGGTGAATCAAACCAACATGAAGTTCTATCACGAGCAACACCAACATTTCAATTGTTAGCAAGTTATGACAAAGACTTGAACTTAACTACTTGAAAGTGAGGGTCAATTTGATGCCCATCAAGCCAGTTTTGGTTAAGTCCATCATATTGAAGTGCATTTATGTCTTTGCACACATTATGAAGGACACATGGCATGATAAGTAGATCTAAACCAAAATTGGCCAAGTTCAAAAGGGATTTAGCTTAACCAAATTCCATTTGATACGTTCCGACAAATTCCTGTCATTTCATCGCAAACGTGTCGTATATCTGTCACCCTCAATCGAACCCATACTGCCTAAGACATTGGAATCCTCTTCTTTATTTTGTTGAAATAGTTAAATACATTTGTTGAGGCTATAATTTCTATTTATTCATGAATGTCTTGCCTTGAAAATGGTCTTAATGCAAGTTTTTCAAAAACCATGATAACATTGTGTCAATGTATAATAACATAGGGGGTGAAAGTGTGAATAGTTTTGGGCATAGAGATCACAAGATAAAAGAAACCAGGGTTTCTGAAATGGCAGATTTTCTCGAGATCAAAACGCCATGCCGAAGAACAAGGGAAAGGGGGGTAAGAATCGAAAGAGGGGTAAGAATGAAGCCGACGATGAGAAACGAGAGCTGGTGTTCAAAGAAGACGGTCAAGAATACGCACAGGTCCTCCGTATGCTCGGCAATGGCCGCTGTGAAGCCATGTGCATCGACGCCACCAAACGCCTTTGTCACATCCGTGGGAAGATGCACAAGAAGGTATGGATCGCCGCCGGTGACATCATCCTTGTCGGACTGCGTGATTACCAGGACGACAAAGCTGACGTTATCCTGAAGTACATGCCGGACGAGGCCAGGCTCTTGAAGGCTTACGGCGAGTTGCCGGATAATATTAGGCTTAATGAAGGTATCGCCGGTGGACTCGATGAGGAGGATGATAATGGCGTTGATGATTACATTGAGTTTGAAGACGAAGACATTGACAAAATATAGGGTTCGTAATCGCTTCATCACTTTCACTTTCAGTTTCAATTTCAATTTCAATTTCAGTTTTCATTTTCTGTATTATCTAATCGCTGAATCCTTGGATTTATGCAGTGTCCAAATGGAGATTGGATGGACCAGCAGAGAATTGAAATTGATTTGAATCCAAATTGGGGGTAAAAATTAGGGCTTGTACAAAATAAGGTCTTTCAATGATATTACAAACGTATTAACATGATAATGCGTAAGGATCTGAATAAAGGGGATATATGTATTGATGATCATTACCCTTTTCCACAATATGTATGTATATATATATGAATTCAATTCAATCTATAGCTAAAATGCCTTCAACCGATTTCGTGGAATAAGGGTTGTGTACCTCTATCAATTAGGCCCCGAAGATAATAGCCATGGAAGTCCCTTACAGCTTGTAGAAACTCTCGAATTATGAGGAGGTCCAAGACCTAGCTTTTATTTGTTGGTTGAGCTAGCCTCATACTTATGTTAGTTCGAGTTCATCTAAAAGGAGTTTTGGACCGATCAAGGACGACAATTTGTCCCCATGATATCATGGTCTAATGCAGTGTTAACGAAGAGGACCTGCTTGTTTTGCGTTTGCTCGTCTCTATGTTTAATTTCTTCCGATTCTTGCCGCCCTTTCCCGTGTTATCCATCTACAAATGGTTTTTGATATTGCTTGTGAAAGCCATGGTTTCTTGATCTCTATGCCCAAGACCATTTCCAATTTCACCCCCTATATTATCATATAATACATATTGTTCACATTTTTTTTGGAAAACTTGCATTCGAGTACAAAAAGTCGGGCGTAAAACCATTTTCAAAGAAGCTATTTACGAACAGATGGAACGTTTTACGGCCTCCACAAATTGATCCTATTTTTACATCAAAAATAGAAAGGGACTCGGCATTTGTACAAAATTAATGCACATGTACAAAAACAATCGTTTTCCATTCCACATCCTTGTCGTGGAAATTAATCAAGAACAAAAAGTTACTTCTATCTTCGGTTAAAAAAATCATGCAAGAACAAAATACGAACTTCAATACGTTGATGATCAACGTTTCATCTTGCACGAAGTGTCAATCCTAACGTATACGAATGGACTTGGGGAAGATTTTGCAATCTCACATAATAAGATAGTTGCCAAGAACAATGGAATTTTACCAACAACCTACGAACCATCTGTTAATATGTTGGGTTCGAATGAGAATATGATCAAAATAAGAAAATACGTGAGTTACATCACACATGTGATACAGGTTAGATCAACGCTCTTAGATTGCAATCTATAATCACATGTGATAGACATTTTCATGTTCTCTTATTTTGATCATATTCTCGTTTGAGCCTCCCACATTTGTTAATATCACAAATTAACCACACAATTATGGCTCTTCTATCCTTCCGTTATCGACTCGGTTTTGGATTGCAAAGTTGAAACCGACGAAATTGTGATCCATTATCTCTATCTAACTAGAAAGTAAGAAACAAATGAAGTCATATACGCGTTCTCATGATTGCAACGACTATCGGTAGCTATATTAAGTTGCTATTTGGGCACCAATTCATAAATTTTGTGAACATCAATCAACAAAATGTTGTATAATCCTTTATTACACAATAGCAACACCCTTTATCCATTGGTAGAGATGGGCATCAAGAACTAGTTAAAAGGGGACCGACTTGCGACCAATTAAGATCAAGTTACGCAACTTTTCATGATCGTTGGTGATATCGTAATTTAACAGAACCACAAGTTCTTTGTTGGTAATGAGATCAAAACGATGCCAATTGAATAACACTAACAAAAATACTAACACTAAAACCACAGTAATCAATTCATCAAATGATAACGAAAACATGGGCTTTGCTTAATAGTCGTTTATAATTAGTTTCATCCGTCAACAGATGTGATTTCTAAGATGTTTCGAGTTGTTTGAGGTAATGAATACTTACATTGGATGGCAAAATCATGTATTTCCTTGTTTAGATTGAGCTTTTAATTTCTCCAGCTGTTTTCGGAGATATGCTTGTTTTAACTTCTCTCGCCGAACAGCCACCTGCTCTTGCCTGCGGACTTTCAGTTCAGACACTTTCTCCCTAGCTTCATTCACTTCTTCATGAACTTCCCTGAAGAAACACAAAACCCCGCAACAGGATCAGATTATCAAAATCGGAGGATGGGGCAACAGTAATTGTAGACAATTAAACAAACCAAATGAACCCAGTATATCCCACAGAGAGATGGGATCTCGGAAGGTCGGATGTTTGACGACCTTGCCTCTACGCCAAGGGGTAGAGTGTAAAACAAAGATCGACAAGAAACATGTGCAAGAAGTAGCAGAGGAGTGTGTGCAAACAAGCAAAAAGTATAGCCAGAGAGACATAAGATGAAACAAACATGGGAGCACACTAAAATCTAGTTGGCATACAATATACGTCCCACAAGTATATGCATACATAAGACATGAAAGGTAGGAAAAACTAAAACAAAAAGTGTTCCTTCTTGACAATGGCTGTCGAAAGAACAAGACTACAGAAACATTTAATAGGCACGTCCATTTGTTCTATCTAAGAAAAGTGGTGACATTATGGACTATATTACATATTTCTTACCGTACCCATAAACCAAAAAGAATGATAACTGAAAATGTAATTCTATCATTTGAGAGAAGTGCAAAGGCAGGCCAAACAGTCGAATTATAAAATCCAAAATGCCAAAGAAAGATGCATATAGATCCAATATCTTCAATATTCACCCTCTATATAATTTAACAAGTTTCTATATATTAGATCAACCCTATCCTAGGAATGGGGACCGTAAAGATATCTACAACATGATCTCCAGACACCTTCTCATGAATAAAAGGACAAGTCAGCTCATTGTGTTTGGGTTGCTCATGTTTGATCACTGGAGACATGCATAGCTGCAGCATACTAACATGAATTCATCTCCATCATCTGGGCTGTTAATTTAGTGATTTACAAAATCAGGCTATTTAGATTGAATTACAATGGGATATTAAAGTGTTAAAGGTTTAAAAATGGGTTGAAATAAAACCTTAGTTTAAAGGTGTTTTTGGCGTTTATAGTTTAGTCATTCATGGGCTTATGAGATTAAGTAATATTGTTGTGAACCCTTTCTACATTAGCATGATGCCATGTTTGCTCACACTCTGCCACAAGTCAGGGTCTTCATGAAAACAATCACTCTACTCTTTTGAAGTAGAGATCAGGTCTGCACACATCTTACCTCCCCTGCCGTACTTCCGAGTGGGATTTACCGAGTCAGTTTTGTTTGGTTACATTAGTGTGATGCCAATCTTATCAAGTTTATCGAACTACTTTTGGCTGTACTCTAGAATTTTATCTGCTCCATACAAATCTTGAACTCTCTTAGGTCATAGTTTACATCTCAAAATAAGCCCAAACCATGTACACCGGTCAGACTAGACCGCATTTTCTCAAGCCGCACTTGCTTGAAACTGTTTCGAAATGAAACACTCCATTTAGACTACTCTAGTTCTATACCCAAGATGTAGATCATCGCTAAGTCATTTGCTTGAAACTGTTTTTAAATGAAACCCTTCATATTGCAATCCCATCTTAGTCCTTGGTAATTGTGATATCAAAGAGGCTTAACCTTATAAACCTACATAATCACAAGAGTAAAGAATGTGTTTCTTGATCAAGATGATGAACAAGCCAATCTTGAGTAGTGACATCAACAATCAGAATCTGCACAAATATCAGTATTATGCATCTCCTTATAGTCTAATAGCACAATCTGAATGAATCTCATTTCCAACCTAACAAAAGAACCAACAGGGTTGAGCTTCCTTATATCATACACTCGGTTGAACCTAACCGAATATTCCCAAAAAGAAGATCAATACAATCACGGTGAAGATGAGCCACCCTGGAAACACAAAGAGTATGATAACAATTCACTGCTCACCTAAAAGCATATGGGCATAACAAAGATCATGACAAATGGGTAGCCAAGCTTCTCAAAAGGCTTGCCAACACAGCTATTTTTATGTTGAACTAGTGCATATACAGTTTAAAGGTAATAATAGTACAGGAGTAGGCAACTCCAAATAAACACATCTTGGAGTGTGGATCGTCTAACAAGGAAAGAATGCTTGCTGAAAGCCTGAAGTTTTTCTCCTATATTATACATGAAGTGGGGCAAAATGAGAGAGTTAAAAAATCAACAAAAGTAACCTCGTCGAGCATCTCAAGATGTTGATAACATGCATATGAAAACTAAGAGACTAGAATACAGCAGAATCAACAAAATTCATCTAGTACTATGACACCTGTACTGATTTGATCTGTAGTACCTTAGGAATACAGAGAGATTCCTTATCATCTATCTTGGTGTAACGCCCCACGTCTTATATATATTGGGTGCCATTACTTTACATGATAAAACTATTAAATCTTGAATCTAGACTTGAAATTCAGCATTATTTATAACATATCTTGAAATTACATCAAAGAAGAAATTACTTAGCGGAAACATAACCATAGCTTTTATTACAACAAAACTTGGACTAAAACCATACTACTTTATGCAAATCCTCCTTACTTCTTTCCTGAGATACATACATGAGATATATAAGCTATAAATTTAGTGAGTATTTATGGTTTCATGAATGGGAAATTTTCATGATATTTTGTGAACGATAATTCATTAAAGCTCTTGATCAGGTATAAAAATAGTCTTTATTATCATGCATAAACATTCATCAAATACTATTCTTCATCATGCATAAACCATTCTTTT